GGATAAGGTAAAACTAAACCTCTTAAGAGAAAAGCTTAGTTGTAAATCTTCATTCATGACCTTGGATCATGCAGTGGTTTCTTAGATAGGACAATAAAAGCACAAATAATAACAAAATTGATAAACTGGATTTCATGAAAATTAAAAATTTTCTACTTCAAAGGACAACATCAAGAGAGTGGAAAGTCAACCCACAGGATGGGAGAAAATATTTGCAATATTAGAGATTTTTGTCTAGAATATATAAAGAGCTCTTACAACTCAGTGATAAAAAGACAACCTAATTTAAAAATGAGCCAAGGATCTGAATAGACATTTCTCTAAAGAAGATATACAAATAGCCAATGAGTACATGAAAAGATGCCTAATATCATTACCCATCAGAAAAATGCTTATCGAAACTATGAGATATCACTTCACACCCAAGTAGGCTGGCTATTATAAAAACGAACAGAAACAGAAAAACAGAAAAAAAAAAAAACCCAAAAAACAAAAAAAACCCCACCAAAAACAAAAACCCAAAACACAGACTATAACAAATGTGGTCTGGATGTGGAGAACCTGGAACCCTCAATTTCTAGTGGGAATGTAGAATGGTTGCTTTGAAAAGTCCGACAATTCCTAAATGATTAGCCATAGTCACCGTATGACTTAGTAATTTGACTTTTCAGTGTATATCCAGAAGAAATGAAAATATGTCTACCCAAAACTTGTTTCTGTAGCATGTTCATAGCAGTATAATTCATAGTAGCCCAAAAATGGAAACAAAACAAATGTTCATCAACCAATGGAGGTAAATCAAATGTGGTTCATCTATTCGATGGAATGTTATTTGGCAATAAAAAGGAATTAAGTACTGATAATGGCTACCACATGGATGAACCTGGAAAACTTTAGGCTAAGTGAAAGAAGCCAGTCATAAAAGACCATATATTGCATGATTCCATTTATGTGAAATATCCAGGATCGAGACAGGAAGTAGATTAGTGGTAGCCAAGCCTGGGGATGGTGGTATTGGGGACATAGGAGGTGTCCTAAAGGCTATAGGATGATGAAAATGTTCTAAAATTGATTGTAGTAATGGTTGCACAACTCTGACTATACTAAAAACCACTGAATTATATGTACACTTTAAATGAATTGTATCATATGTGAATTACTATAGACTGTTAAAAAACAAAGGAACCAGGAGCACCAATAGTTCAGGACAAGAGCCCTTGATATTACTTAATATCATTGTGACTTTAGAAAAAGAACTTGTCAGCTGGAGTTAATTGATTTGAACAATTCAAGTTCACTAGGCAAATAAGCATAGGATAGCTTACAATGCTGGCAATTTTTTTTAGCACAGTTTTCAAATGACTATGATGGTAAGAGGAGAATAAAGTCTCAGGTGAATGAAAGCTACATGATGTAAAAAGAAAAAAGTCAGGTAAAGTTGGTAGATAATGTTATTCATATATTCCGTATTCTTATTGTCAATTTTTGCTTGAGATATTTCAGGATTCTATTATTAGGTGCTACACATTTAAGATTATTATGTCTTCTTGATGTATCTGACCTCTTATCATCATGCAATCACCTTCTTCATCTCCATACTACTTGCCTTGAAGTCCACATTATCAGATAAAATTAATATAGCCATATCAGCATTCTTAGGGTGTGCATTTTTCCCCATGTTTTTACTTTCAACTTGCCTTTGTCTTTGTATTTAAAGTGCTTTTCTTATAAACAACACAGTTGAGTTTTGCTTTTATATCTTGTTGACAATTTTTTCCCTTAAATGTAAATGTTCATTTACATTTAGTGTAATTATTGATATGTTGGGTTTAATCTGCCATCTTGGAATTTGTTTTCTAATTTCCCCATCTGTTCTTTGTCCAGTTTCTCTTTTCCTTCCTTCTTTTGGGTTGAGTAGATTTTTGTATTCTATTTTGCCTTATAGCCCAGCTGCCAACTGTTTGGGTAGGTCAGGAGTTAGCCTTGCTCTTGAACTCAACCCCTGGCTTGTCTTGGAAGATCTCTCTTCATCCTGCTTTGCACATCTCTCTTCATCCTACTTTCCATTTGGTGAAGGCTCAGTGCTTGTCAGAGGGATCTTACTCAGAGATTGTCCTGCTCCTAGCCTTCAGGGAACTGCTGCTTTGCACTCAGCAAAGGCCTGGGGGTACTTCAGGAAGATTTCTCAGCGCTTCTGTTCTGTCTGAGCCTTTGATGTGTAGTGGTTGTGCACTAGGTGCAAGCTCTGTGAAAAAGAACTGGCAGGTGGGTATGGAGTAGTTCTTTGATTAGAGCTCCTCAGAACTCTAATTCCTCATATCAACAGCTGTTAAGAGTTAATAAAGTTTCAGCTGGTTTCTCCATACTTCCCTTTTTGGCAGGTTTATTCTTTCTCCTGTCAGAGATAAAAGCAGTTAGGCATCTCTTTTTTGGGAAGGGATCATTTGTATGTGGAATTTAGTTCATTTAGGTTACTTTGCTTCTCAGCTTTAATGGGTTTTTAAAGAAAATTTATGATTTTATGGCTTATATAGCTTGTTGTTTTAGGTTGGGGTTATTTCTAAAGTGTATATTTTTATAATTATATGGCAATGGAAACATTTTTAGAGCATCTACAATTAATGTTTATTTTTTAGTGGCTTCTTGAGTGATAATTGCCTAGTGTGGAATACCCAAGGAATCTGTAAAAGGTCAATGAATAAATGAATGGTGGCATTTACTTTAGGTATTGAGTCACTGGTATTGGCCCCACATTAATATACATAATCTCCCTTATGATCAGTAATACACACTTAATGATGGTGGGCTACAGCTAGGGTACAGTTTATTAATTAAGCACCAAAAGAAAGTATAGTGATTATGAAATCTTGCCTCATGAGCATTTATGCAGCCTTATGAGTTAAAATATATTCATAATTATATTCATAATTAATATGGCTTATGTGGATCACTTTAGAGCTGTATACAAGGTTTGGTCATACTCATTAAGATAATTTTGGTTATATTTGTTAAAAATAAAGCTTATTTTTACACTTCACTGTAATGCTGTGAAAAAGACTTTATGCCCTTCTTTGTTTAGTTTTCATGTTTTGATTGTATTTCTTTTACCTTACATTATCTTTTAAGATTCTGTAGAAGAATTTTGCCTGGTAAATGCAGGCTTACCTAATGCTATGCTCTCTGAAATCTAGGAGTGACTGGTCCACAGAGGAGAATCAGGCATTAAATGTTCAACAGATTTTTTTTAAATGTAAATTCTCAAACATTCATAAAGTAAGTAGTGCAAATAGAATAATAAACTTCCATACTTCTAATAACTGTTGACATAGGTTAATCAAACTTGTTTTATTTATCCTGCCCACTTTATAAAAAAAATTGATTGGCTGGTACAATATTTTATTTATTTTTGATTGCTAAAATGTTTTAAAGCTAATCTCAGATGTTATGTCTTGTTTTACCTGTAGGTTGCTCTGCCTGATCCAGAAAATTTTAAAACATAATTACTGTGACATAATATCTAATAAAGTTAATAATTCCATAATTTTTCAAACATTGCTTTTTCATGTCATGTTTCCCTAGCTACCTGGAAACACCTGGGAAAATTAACTTATACTTTGTTTCTAATGTTATCTGATTAATATTATGCTGATTTCTAAACATTTGAATATTTACTGCTTTTTTTCCATTGCTCTCAAGAATGTCCTAGATATGTTCATAGGCCATATTATGGCCTATGAAAAAATTCATTCTGAGACCAGGTAAATTTTATAAACAATGTATACTTGATCCCCTTATGGTGATTTATAAGATATATAATGCAGGTTATAAGTAGCAGAGGTCTGAGAAGTTTGGCAATAAAGAGTTAACTTAGCTTAACCAAGAGTTTCCTAAATTTATTTAGCCCCAGAACCTGTTTTTTATGTAACCTCTGTTAGCTAAAATACATTTTGGAGAATACTATTTTAGGCAGGAGAATGCTACCTCTGAATGGCAAAACAGAAGCTGTTAACTTCATTTATATTTGAATTAGATAATTATCCTGATGGCATAATCATAATCATGTAATATATATTTTTTCCCTAAAATCTGCTTAATATTGATAATGCAGTACAACAGGTCATCCTCCTCAGGATCTTACATTCTGAAAATCTTTCAACACACTGTAAAAGCAAATCAAGTATGAGCATTTTGTTTTTTCATGAGATAGATATTTGCCAAAAAAAAAAAAAAATAGGTATACACCACAAGCCGTCTGTAAAGAAAGATAAATGCATTGGTATTGTATTAAAGGGGAAGCTAGAAATAAGATGTGTAGAAACTTAAGGAAATACAAACCAAAAGATAATAGTGATCAATTAGATTATATTTTATTTGTGAAGAACTGGTTAAAAATATCTTTAAAGGGGCACTGGGGTGACTTAGTTGGTTAAGTGTGGACTTTTAATTTCGGCTCAGGTCATGATCTCAGGGTCATGAGATGGAGCCCTGGTCAGGCTCTGCACTCAGTGTGGAATCTGCTTAAGATTCTCTCCCTCCCTCTCCCTTTGCCCCTTTCCCTGCCCCAGCATCCTGCAAGCATGTGCACTGTCTCTCTCTTAAAAACAAAAACAAAAAACTTTTAAGAAGTTTAAACTTAGGCAGTGGTGTGGAAATAAATTCTTACATTTTTATGTACTTTTATTTTTAAAAAATATTTATTAGAGGGAGAGAAAGCATGAGCAGAGGCCAAGTGGAGGCTAATTGCCCATCAAAGGAAAACATTCTCCATTCTGCCACTCTTCTCTGCTCACTGACACTAGAGTGAGAAGGGAATCTAGAGGCACTCATGTTCTAGAGGATCTGCATCTCAGCCTAATATGATCTAATTGACACTCATCCCCGGCCCCCCACTTTGCCAACCCTCCAGAGTGAATTAGCTGGTTGCTCCTGTCTTCATATAGCATAAATGTGTAGACGGTTGTTTTTTCTGTGATGCCCCAATAGTAATTTTTCCATTACAGTCAAACTGCAACTTCAAGCAGAAGAGAGAGGGGTTGTGTCCATCAAAGGAGTATGTGCAAATCGCTATCTTGCCATGAAGGAAGATGGAAGATTACTGGCTTCTGTAAGTAATACTCTTCATAGTTTTTTTTTTTCTTTTTCTTTGTTAGCTTTTGTTGCTGTTAATTTACCAGTATTGGTATTTATTCTTTATTAAGGATTTTGCAAGTATTATATAATCTAACCTTCATATTCACCCTATAAAATAGTATTACTCTCTTTATTTCACAGATACAAAAACTGAAGTTCTGAGGGAGTAAGTAACCATGGAAACACAGGTCATAAGAGGTAGAGCCTGGATGGCACTTGAGGCAGTCTTGACTCTAGAGCATGAGCTCTAATTCATTGCATTTTACTGCCTTCTCTGCAAAGCTATTAAGCTATAGTTGTTAAAAAAATTCTTATATTGTGCAGTTGTTTGAAGATCAGTGGGATGGATATATACAATTTTGAGTATCAGTTTTTAAGTTTCTGCTTTCAGATTTCACATACAAAATGTTTGCAGTGTAGAAAACTAGGTAAGAAAGTGGGTTCTTAACCTAGATACTGATACCAGCACTGCCACATATTAGCTGTGTGTTCTTGAGCAAATTATTCTGAGTTTCCTTACCTGTAAAATAGAGACAATAATGATCCTATCTTAAAGAGTTTTTGTGAGGACTAAATTAGAGACTTTATATCAAATGCCAAAATCCGGGTCATGCATAATAGGCCCTCAAAAGTTTTACCTCCTCTTCCTCTACTCATTTATATATAAGCTCATTCAGGACAAGGACTGTACTTTTTCACTTTTCATCACAGCTAGTCAGGAGTCCTAGCTCCTGGCTAGTACTCTTTTCACTAATGCAGCCTCCCTGTCAACTCCACCATTGTCATCAGAACCAGGATTAGAGGTCTGTTGGGCAGACACAATATGTGGGAAGTACTGCAGAGAAATAAAGCAGTATAAAAGATAGATTCGACTTCTGTTTCACTGGGGGAGTAGATGGGACATATACGTAAAGTGTGTGTGTGTGTGTGTGTGTGTGTATACACACAGAGACGATAGCCATGATACCAATACCAGTAGCCAGTTACCATTGCTTATAACTTTCCCCATATAAGAGACCCAATATTACTGAGCAGTTATGGTGTTTTAAGCCATACACATAGTTTTTGAAATTTTTTCTGAGTGACGACCTTTGGATTTCTGAAGGTACCAAAACAGACTTCTTACAGAGAAAAAGAATATTTCAATCATCTGATCGATCATCTGACAAGGATATATTTATGTTGATATACTATCAACTTACGTGACTTTTATAGGATAAATAGCAACTCTGGGTGTAATGGTGTGTGGCTCCCTCTTTGGTAGTTGAATAAACTGTAGAATCCTCTTCAAGAACAGCCAATATTTACTGAGTGTACAGTGTGCCAGATGCTATGCCAGGCATCTGGGTTATAAAATTGAATACCAAATTGTGCCCTTAATGAATCACAATCTTGGGGGGGGGCAGAAGTGTAAGTAAGTATTTGTAATAATTGTAAGGGTTTTGATGTGTTCCTTCTATACCTTGTATAAATGCATAATAATATTGGATAAGAAGTAAGAAGTATTATGACAAAGGAAGTAATAGAGGAAAGGAAGTGATTAAACTTATCTTGGAAGATGACCTATCAATAGGATTTTAGATGATGTAGGAGAAGGAATTTATCAGGCAGTCAGGGAGCAGAGGAGTGGAGATGAGGGTATAGATACTTTTAGAACATAGTACGTGAAAGACATGGGTGCAGAAGGCTTAGGAGGTGTTTCTCCAGCATTACAAATAATTCACTACTGCAGGAGTGTAAAGTGCAAAGGAAATGCAAACTGGAAGAGAAAATGCTGGAGAGGTAGATAGACTACCTGCTGACATGCCTTCTACAGCATGTGTTACAAGCAGTGGAAAGCCATGAAGAGTTTTAAGAAGAGACACAATCTGTTTTGAATTTGAGAAAGATCACTCTGGCAGCATTACAGAGGACGGATTTGAGGGGGCTGACATGGTGGAGACAAACCAGTTAGAAGGCCTTTGTAATAGTCCAAGCAAGTCATGATGAAAATCTGGCAATGACAGGAGAGGATTGAGTAAAGTACTAGCACTTGATTTAGGAGTGAAGTAGAGGGAAAAGTCCTAGGTTTCTGGTTCAGATGAGAAGGTAGATGAGAAAGGGGAAAGAGGGAAAGAGCAAGTTCTGGGAAAAGGTAATACAGGTTCAAATTTAGACTTACCTAGTTTGAGTTGCCTAAGAGAAATTCAGGTGGGGATGTTCACTACATAGTTGTAATTTGGGTCTGGAACTTGGAAGAGAGGTCTGTGTCCATATATAGATTCGGGTGTCATCAGCATATAGGTAATAGTCAAATTAGGGGAATGGATGCGGTTCCTGGGCAAAAAATATCGTCCCAAAAGATTGACTACTTGGGACTTGTACTGTTGTCTTTTTTTCCTACCAGTCTGTTGTCAACTTAAAGGGTGATATAATATGTTGGGAATCTACCAAAGGAGCATTTTAAATATTTCCAGGACAGTGAATCAGTAATTTTGGATGACCTTGAGTTTGTAGAGAGGAGAGGTTTATTCCTACTCTTCTCACATCAGGATGTGACAAAACACATGTAGTGTGAATCATGATGGCTTCTGCAAAGGTTTGGTGTTGGTTTGGCTACTGTCAAACAGTGAAGGTGGTGGAGAAAATAAAGGAGATGCATACCTTTGCTTTTGTTATGACTAACTGTGGACAACATTAGACAAGTGGTTTTAAAGCTCTCACTTTTTCTTAATCTGGTTCAGTGAATGATTTGGAACTGTTATCCTGTAGTTTTCCACTTACTGAGATCAGAAGATCCAGTAACCTAGTAATCATGGTGGCCCTGTAAGATACTCATGGGAGGGGTTATTCATCTCCAGAACATAGGCTGGAATTTATGTTCATCTGTTATGATGAAAAGCTTCGTAGTTGTCAAAAGTGATGAAAACAGAAGCTACTCTATTTTAAAGTGCATCTCTGAAACTACTGGGGTCCATAAAAGAGGAGATGAATTTAGAACAAGTCTAGACATGAAAACTGAACTATCTACTCATTCTTACAGAATTCTCTACAAGTTAGAATTCAGAGAATTCTGACCTCTTCTCTTGGTGAATAGTCATTAAGCTTTCCAAACTGTTGATTCTGTGCCATCAGAAGCAGAAAGTACTCTGAAATAAAGTGTTTTATAGTTTCTTCCTTAGCTCAGCAGGACCTTTCACAAGATTAAGGTATTTTATTTCGTCTTAAATATGTTTCTATCTCTTTGGATATATATTCTTCCTGATACAACAGATTTCCTTCAAGTTGATGCAATAAGAGTTAATTTAGCAATGCTTAGAAATTTTTATCACAAACTATGTAGGGACAAAGTCACAGCTATTACACATAAATGGAAAATTTAGGATTTATCAGTTTCCTTTGAGCAATGGCACCAGCCAAGATTCAGTTGTTGTCGCTCCCATCATAGGCTTTATTCTTGCCAAGTTCACGAGTTAATCTCCAGTCTTACCATTCAATGTATGCGACTTGCTTCTTTGACTCTTCAGCAGCAATCCTATCTCTTCCAAATTAGTCTGGGTGGGCTGCGTTATTTTTCAGATGAGAAGTGCCCCTACCCTCAAATCAAGGAGGTGATGTCGGTTGGTCAGTAAGTGACATATTTCTTTCCAAGTCAGATCCATAGGCAGTGAGATGTCAACAACAGCAACTTTTAGGTAAGAAATTAAAAGTCTTGGCCCTCGGCTATTAATATTATCTGTGCCAAACATTTAATGCGTTGAGATGAATCACTGATGGTAAAAGACACCGTCGCCGGGGATGTCAGCAGAGACCTCACTCAGGTGACAATGAGAAGAGACAGCTGGCATATAAAAGGCAAAGAGAACAAAAAAACCTAATAGCAACTTTTGGTAGAAGTCCAGTGTGTGACCACTAGCCATCATGGGGATGCAGATGCCTCTTATAACCTGGAGAACCTGGGGTTTATGAACTTGCATTTGCCACAAGCATAATTCTTTCCACTCTTCTACCTGGCCCCATTTCAGACTGTTGTGTTATGGCACATCCCTGGATTCTTCTACCTTATTCCCTGTTTATGATTCCTGCAGTGATTTGCAAAACATTCTCATTTCCTCTTAGAAGACTACTCTGGACACATAAAATATTTTGGTGTCTAAGAGTCATGTTGATTGCTACCAGTTGAGAGTATGAAAAAAGACTAAGTTTTTTTCCCCAATACCTTCACATAGTAATGGCATGAATGCTTTCAAGCTAAGGAATCCTCACTGTTTGAAAACATTTCTTAAGGGTCTTTCCCCTGCCCCCTTTCGAAGCTAGAAAATACAAACATTTAAAGAGTAACTATATTTAACTGCCAAAGCCTATATTTAGAGGCTTAACTTGAGTAGTTTTTTAATACGTAACAGACTCTTATTCCATTCCATAGAGGATAAATTTTGTTGTCATGAATAACAGAGGTCCAGAACAAATATTAGGATTTATGATTTCTTACGTGTTCACAAAATTGTAGGTTTTAAAAAACTGCATATAGTGAGGTTAACTGTAGTTTTAAATTTAAGTCACCAAACAACATCAGTGTTGGCATTGGTAAAGAAAATTTGCCTGGTCTTTATGTGCTAGAAAATTGCATGTTGATTTCTATATAATGCTATAGATCATGATACCCTGAACAAGATATCTCAATATTAGAAATGTACATGTAACTTGTGTGGATCCGTAATAGTGAAACATGAAAAAAAATTTATTCTCGGGTGCCTGGGTGGCTCACTCGTTAAGCGTCTGCCTTCGGCTCAGGTCATGATCCCAGGGTCCTGGGATCGAGTCCCACATCAGGCTCCCTGCTCAGCGGGAAGCCTGCTTCTCCTTCTCCCACTCCCCCTGCTTGTGTTCCTGCTCTCACTATCTCTCTCTGTCAAATAAATAAATAAAATCTTAAAAAAAAAATTATTCTCTGAGGAGATACACTTAATTACTGTAAAAGTAAAATATATTGAG